AAAACGTCTCTAACTAGCCATTAAACTCACTAAATGGTTACACCATCCGCCACTCAATCTATTGTTAAAAAATTAGATGGAATGTACGACTTAGATAACTTATAATCTAGCGTAACACCTTTATCATTAATTTTCGTCATGTCACAAAAGTTCATAAATGTTTTGAAAATTATAGTGGTCGATGAAAAATATTTTGAAAAATACTGTGGCCAATGTGATGTTCAATCCCGTACTTGAGTTATATCATTATATTTTATCTTACGTTTCAAATCACCTCATTAAAGGAGATATTAATAACGTTTTGATGTATAGTATATGTTTTTTGGCAAATCATCTTTATTTGTCGATGTCATCATTTATACTTTTTATTACTTTAGTAAACAAATAACAATAGTCCCATTTTCACTTTCAAATCATCAATTACATTGTTTCTTTTCTTTTCCCTTTTTTTCATTATTTTTATTTTTAACAACCTATGTATCGGAATTATCGATTCTCTCAACTCAAGTCAAGATTGTTAATTTGAATTGATCACGGATCACTTCAATATTTGAATTGTAAATTGAATTTGTCAAGGTTCTTAAGATTCCTTATTTTGTGTTAACTGATTTCTCATTTAATTAAAGTAATTTGAATCCATAAGATAACATATAATAAGAATATGAGTATAAGGTTAATATCCTATTGCTAAATGTACTTTCCCCAATATATTTTTTTAACAGTTGATGACAAAGTGACGAATGGTGTAACAGTATGATAAGTTTAGTAGTTAGTTTAAACACACTTTAAAGTTCAATAGTCAATAATAAATATCGTAGAAAATATAACAATGATTGACTTAATTTAACCAATTAAAGTTCCTTAACAAAATTGAGAATAAGCTAGAATTTTGATTCATTATATTGTAACAAACTCATTTTCACTTATAAGTAAAAATATACAATTTACTCAAATATATTTAAAACTAAAACTTTATCAAAAGTAAACTTAGCCAAAGATGCTATAGCAAATCAACTTAGTTTCAAAATGTTGGGGTCAAGACGAGGTCCCAAGCTATATGCAAGGAGTTGTATGCACGTTCTAATTTTGATATTTTAAATTTATTAGTTCATATTCCAGTTTTTGGAGCTTGACTAAGTACGGCAGGCTAAATTAATGCAACTCAAAAGAAACTTCTTGGTATCTACGTACCATAAGTCGAAGATATTTTGAATAGGTCAACAACGGATATCACAAAAAAAAATTACATTTATATCATTCACAATATACAATATTTAAACTCTGTTTGACAGAGTTTTTACTTCTTGGCTCTTCTAGAAAAACTTATTCAGCGCTTGTTTGGTAGAAATTTTAAGCAAATTAAAATTAATTTTTTAATCATTTTTTCACTATTTCAGCCGTCATTTTTAAATTCTTCTCTCACAGATAGAACTCACTTTATCTCTAATGGTCAAAAAATCAATTATCAAAATCTCCACCAAACAATAACTTATTTTGATAATTGATTTTTTGACCGTTAGAGATAAAGTGGATCATACCTGTAAGAGAAGAATTCAAAAATGACAATTGAAATAATAAAATAACGATTAAAAAATTAATTTTAATTGGATTAATAATTATACCAAACAGCTCTAAGAATGCTATTATATGTCAACTTCCTCTTGTAATAAGGCCAAGCACTTCTAGAAATTATATAAATATCTTCAGAGCAGTTTTTAACTTTTTTAAAACCTTGCCATACGCACTTGGCTTGTTTTGAATTTGTCTTTTCTCAATGTAGCTCTTATGAGTGGATCCCCATTTTATTTATCTATTTATTTATTTTTCTGGTGAAAGTGCATATAGAAAACTGAATGAAAAATGGTGATGAGTTTAGTCCCTGCTTGATCCTAATTTTTAAAATTTATTTTTTCTTCAAATTCATTTTTAACCACATTTTTGAAATTCACATCTTTTATCAACTTTTCGATCATATAAATATTTCATTAATTATAATTAAAATATACCAAACCAAATAGAGACTAAGCAAAACTATTCATATATAAAATTCATATTTACTTTTTGAGTTACATATCATCATCATCATCATCATCATCATCATTATTTGATTAATAAAATTACTTTTTAACAAAGCAAGCTCCCGTTTGACCCCATTTTTGGAGAAAAAAAAAGTGTATTAAAATAGTTTTTTTTTTTTTTTTTTTTTTTAGAAATTTTTGTAAAAATATTTTTTTTGAATTTACGTCGGAAAAATGTGTGATTAAAAAATAGGAAAAAATTTTGAATTTACGTGTAAAATTATTTTATGAAAAAATGTGTTGCTCAAAATGAGTTTTAAAAAAATAAGTTTTTAAAAAAATTTAGGGTCGAATAAGGGCTAAACTTGGCTATATTTATGAGATGGCATCCCGGCCGCGTGCTTACGAGGGACAAAATAAATTTCTCTGTCGGCAAAAATGATACAAGATTAAAGGTTGACTAAATGAACTAATGTCGTAGGACTTAAACTTACTTGTTTGCAAGTTTAATTAACCAAGAAATGTGCCTTCATTAATTTCAAATATACAATATTACACGATTCTATTTATTAACCTAAAAGTGCACCTACGAACTATGTCACCGACCTAACTTGTATCATTTATTGCTATATATATAGAATTTTCAACCTTATTGACCATTAAAATTTTTGTATATTTAATCATATATTTCATAAAATCTACATCTATTATTAATTTTTTACTCACACATACATCAACATTTATCAAAATCTGTTAAAATTTCTATAATCAAAATTATCAAACAATCCTTAAAGTACGTTTTCAAAAATTTCTCTGTAGATATCAACATCGATGGTAAAGATTAACATTTTAATATATATAATCACTTAAAGTGAAACTCTAATTTAAATCAAGTTGGCATAATAAATTCAAATATGAGCCAATCAAATCAACTTGGTCCAACATGCATATCCATGATAACGACATAAATCTATCTCCATTGGATGAGAGTTCACGTTAAAGGAAAAAAGGGAGGAAGCCAAGTTGGTTAGTCCGTTGGCTGGGGCAGTTTAGTCTTTTCGCTTCTTTATTTTGCATTATCAAGAACATTGCCACTTGATTTTAGCATGCTAAAGAAAACTTTTTCTTTGTATGAAATGACTTGGACGACCCCACTGAGTTGAACTTGAATATTATTTTTTTGAAATTTAAATATTAATTTAGTTGAAAGTGATATTGAAAGATAAGTTAAAAAGGAGAAGAAATGTCTAGAATTTTTATAATTTACTTAACTTTAAAAAGCTAAAAACACCACTGGAGATTTGATAGCAACTACATTCTTTAGTTTTAGTTTGTTAGAATTAATGAATAATTTTGAGATCCGACAATAGTTTTCAATTTTTTTAAAAAAAGTTGAACCCCAACTTTAAGGGTTCTCACCGTCCCGCCCCTAGAACTTTGTGAAAAAGGTAAATCGCGGGATGTGTTTCAGCATGTCAGAGAACAAGAGCTGTCTGTACACTAAGCCTTCAATGAGTTCAATTCCGTGTCTCAAAAATCGAACCCCCACACTGTCCTTTGTACCACTGAACTATGCCCCGGGAGGCTATAATTTTCAATTTTTAATATGATAGTTGGATGCAGTCGTTGTCATATTAATTATTATTATTATTTATATACGGTCCATTTTAATAAACATGTTACAATTAAGCCCCTATTTGTTTTGTTTTAAAATTAAACTTTTAGTAAATTTTGATAAAAATTAATGGAATGTGTGATCAAAAAGTTGTGAGTCCCATGAAATTTGTCGTTAAATTTATTGTTTACTTTAACTTATATTTTTATAAAAAATTTTGGTTGAACCAAACATGGGCTAAAATTGCGTTTGATATATGAATTTTCATAAGATTGGACATAATTCAAGAACAAAAGTGATTTCGATTGATAGCTGCTAGATTCAAATTTCCACATAAATATACTATAATGTAATATCTTACACTTGAAAACAATAATAATATAAAAGAATTAAGTTAAAGAAACATTGAAATAATAAAAATTATTATTATTGTACCCAATTGAACAAGTAGCTTGTATCTTAAGCAAATGTAATAAGAAGATGCAAATGGACTAAGAATATTCGAGTAACAAGAATGCTTATTCCTACGAAAATGAGTATTTTATTTGTACCATAGCTGATTGAAATGTTCAATATATATATACACACACACGCACTAGTTTGCTTCCATTGAAAAAAAAAATTATTATGAAATTACGAAATATGTAAATATAATGAGTAATAATTTTAAATATATATAGTTGAAATTCAAATTTAAATTTGACTGAATAACTGAAGCAATCTTTAATTTTCCAAAAATATTTCCCAAACATAAGTTTTTCTCTAAAATTAGACTACTTCTAGATTTTGTCATCCTCAATAAATTGTTAATAATCGATTATAGATAACACTACCCAGCAAAGAAACTCAAAAATATATACTGTATAATTTATTATTACAAGAACTCAAAGAAACATTTTGAAGGCACGAAGCCATCTTTGAAAACAATTGAAAGAAGCTTTCAACCTTTTATTTCTAAATAGATACGTATTTGGTAATATTCTTGAAGACTACAAGAAAATTATAGATTTTCTCGAATATATAGCGTAGGTTAAAATTAGCATTTTTGAAAGTGATCAAGATACATCGCTGAATAAAAATATCTGGATATATTTTTTATTTTTATTTACATCAGATTTTATCAAGAGACATTTTTATTTATATCTGAATAAAAATATCTGGATAAAGGGTAAAAATGAAGCCTTTAACTTTTATCACACAAAATAGGGAAGATAGGAAAAAGAAAAAGAAAAAGAAAAAAAAAACAAATCATTTCAAATTCATTATTTTATATTTTTTTATAGCATAAAACACTAGGGCTCTTTTAGTAAATAAACACGAAGCAACTAGTTCACCCTCACATGAATCTGCATATCATATTGTCCACTTGAAAGAAGAGACTCATAATCCAGTCCACCGCCATTCGACAGTTGGAAAACTCAACCCTCCTCCCACGTCAGTCGCCGGATTATATATACCCAAATACATACAACTACAAGCCCTGCGCAATCTTCAAATAACTCTTTCTAGATTATCAAGAAAAAAAATATAAAGCAAAACCCTTGAAGAAAATGCCTATGGATCACCCAAAATCATCTGTTTTAGTTCACAGGATCAACACCACCGCCACAGATTCCACAGCCGCCGCTACATGGAATAATCAAGTCCAGCAGAGTCCCAGCGCCGCCGTGCGGTGGGAGACTCCACTTCCTTGCAGCACCCAAGTCCCGGACCATGTCGCCCGCTACCACACATACGCCGTGGGCCAAAACCAGTGCTGCTCCGCCGTGATCCGGCAAATAAATGCTCCCGTCGACACCGTGTGGTCCTTCGTCCGCCGCTTCGACAACCCGCAGTCCTACAAGCACTTTGTCAAGAGCTGCCGCGTAGTCCTCGGAAACGGTGACGTCGGCACCCTCCGTGAGATCCACGTCATATCCGGCATCCCAGCCGTGAACAGTACCGAGCGCCTTGAGATCCTCGACGACGACCACCATGTTATCAGCTTCAGCGTCGTTGGTGGCGACCACCGCCTGGCTAACTACCGGTCCGTCACCACCCTCCACCAGGCGGCAGATGACGTCAACGAGACAACAGTCGTGGAATCCTACGTTGTTGACATACCTCAAGGTAACACTAAAGAGGAAACTGGCGTTTTTGTCGACACCATTGTTAAATGTAACCTTCAGTCACTTGCACAGATCGCTGAGAATTTATCCCGACAAAGAAAAAATTCCCAGTTAGTTTAATTTGAATCCAAACTTGTTCGTCAACCTATTCGACTCTCGTTTTTTCCTAGATCCCGACTTCACGATCGTCGCACACACGCACACGCACTCGCACTCGCCCTCATAGACATGTATTATGTTTGGATGTACAAATTGCAAAGTGCGGATTACTGATATCAGATTTTCTGTATAAGTAAAAAATCACAAGTAGTCTTGTTTGTGACATGTAACACATAATTTGATGTTTTGTTTTCATGTATCATTAATATTTGCATTTTTGGAGGTTGTTCAATTGTCATTTCTTGTAATTTGTGGAAGGATGTCAGTTTTTTCTTAGTTCTTAGAAAATAACGGTTTTGCTTAAGTTTTCTTTTTAAATTTTTCTCTGGTTTTTTGGGCTCATGGTACATTATTCTTAGGATGTTTATCAGAATATTAAAGTTCCGTTTGATTGCAAAGATATAATTGAATTGCTTAAAATACGAATTTTAGGAAATTAAATTGTCTAAAAATTATTTTTTTGAGAATTGTAAATTATTGTGTTTGATTGATATACTTTTTCACGTGAAAAATGTTGAAATAAAAGTGTTTTTGGGTATTCGTTTGGATTTGTTTTACATGAAAATTGTCAATTAAAGGGATAAAATTTACTGGTATTGAAGATGAAATTTGTATAATTTTTCACATGAAAAATGTGGAAATAAAAGTATTTTTTGGTGTTTGTTTTGCTTTGTTTTACATGAAAATTGTCAATTAAAAGGATGAAATTTACTGGTATTGGAGATGAAATTTGTTCCCATTGTCAAAAAAAAAAAATCATCTGTCTTTTAGTATTTGTTTGGTCTTGTTTTACATGAAAATTATTAATTAAAGGAAAATATTTTTTTAAAATAATTTATGGAAAATGGCTTATGTGGCACCAAACATGAAAATTCAATTCTAAGTACAAAAAAAAAAAAAAAAGTATCAAGCAAGATTAAAATGGAAGATGAAATTGAAATTCCATTTTTCATGGAATTTTAATTGCTATCAATCACTACCTAAATGAATCGACTAGACAATTTTTTATATAATTTAGAAGTGAAATGGCCTGCCTTTTGATGTGCAAGTTGTTAAGGCGGCTGCAATGCTGCTAATTGCTGGCAAAACTTGGAGTAAACATGGGATTAATTTATGACATAGAAAATCCTGGTACGATGGCAAGGAATGGTGAAAATATTGGGTTTTTTGCACTTCAATTTTGGCAGTGTGCGTGTTTATAATGTTAGCATTGCAAACTCGAAGATAAATTAATGAATTATTCTAGATGGATAGGGCCACCATTTAGCACGTTTCTAAATTAATAAGGATTAGGGTGAAAATTATACGTTTTTCAAAAAAAATTAAAATTAAATTAAATACTAGGCAAAACTCTTGAGATTATTATTTTAGTTCAATCAAGTACCTAGTTTATTAAACACGAAGAAAACTTAGTCCTCATTTGGTCTCCATTTTTAAAATTTATTTTTAACTACACATTTCATGAATTTATTCTTTCGAGTTTATTTCGTTTATATTCTTCCCTACGCTAGGAGAATTAGTAATGTGTTAGAGGAAATTAGTACAAGAACTCGTGAAATCGTTCATGCATTCGAAGTAACCAATCAATAGTTACTGAATATTTTATCAAAATTTACTAAAAATAATAATATGTAATATGAACCCATTTCGGTAAATTAGTAGTAGTAGCAAGTTGATAATTTTTATTTTTATTTTTAATTTTTGTAAAAGTGGAAAAAAATGTCTACGACCTAGAAATTTCCAATATGGTAAAAACTAATAATTTGAGCCCTTGTTGAGTGGTTATTATTTTCATTTTAAAGAGTTTTGAATAATTTTTTTTGAAGAATGTATGGTTAAAAAGTAAAAAAAAATTTTAAATTTATCTATAGAATATTTTATTGTATGAATGTATAGTTAAAATTAATCTCTTAAAAAAAATGAAAAAAAGAGTTCTAAAACAATGGATGGCGATGGGAATCCACAGCTAACTCTGCAACTTGGAGTTTTGGTCAGACCAACTAGCTGAAAAGAAACAAATACCAACTTGCAACTTGCAACTTGCAATTTGTTTTGTTTATATATAAATAAAAAGTATAAGTATAATAAAATAATGCAAGTTGGTCATTTTGTTTGCACTGTGACCTTGAATAATAAGTAGAATTAGAAATAATAGGACGGTTTGGTTGCAAGTGGGTACTATGCTCTTGAGCTCCATTTTTTTTTTTATAAAAATACATTTTTAAATAGTGTATTGATAGAAATTTGATGATTAAAAAATAAAAGAAAAATTTAAATTTATATGTAATATTATTTTATTGAAAAATATGTGATTAAAATAATATCAAAACACTATTTAAGAATATATTTTTCAAAAGAATGAGACTCAGAGTCTCAGACAGTGGTTCTTTAAATTTATATGTAATATTATTTTATTGAAAAATATATGATTAAAATAATATCAAAACACTATTTAAGAATATATTTTTTAAAAGAATGAGACTCGCTATAGTAGCGGCTTTTAATGATCAATGTCTTCACGCTCTCTCATTCATTTTCTTAACCCACGTCAAGTTCAGAGCATCTCCAATCCATCCTCATTGTACTACAATTAACCAAATTGCACCAAAATTTGACACATTGTACAATATTAATCATTTGCATTATTTGCACCAAAATTGTTAAATACTTTTTTACCCTTCTCTTCCACTTTGCACCAATATTTGTTAAGGGTATATTTATTCATTTGTTATCTCATAAATTTTAATTCTAAATTTAATTATATTATTATTGTTGTTGTTATTATTATGTGCATATGTAATAAATTTTAATAATTTAATCAATAATAATCAATTGTGAATGCTATTTTGACTTTATAATGCCCTTGTTTGAGCCCCATTTTTGTGAAGAAAGTGAATTTTTAAATAGTGTATTGATGGAAAATGTATGGTTAAAAAATAAGGAAATTTTTTTGATTTGAGTATAATATTATTTTATTGAAGAACGTGTGGTTGAAATGATATCAAATCACTATTGAAGAATGTATTTTTGTTGGAAAATGGGGATCAAACAAGGGCAATATCACGATATTACGATTCGAAACCCATTACATTCTTTTTTAATATTTTGATTTAATATTTTCTCAGTTGTACTTGTTGTATTGTACTTCATTTTTTAAATTTATTAGTGAATTCCATATTTTTGTTAAATAAACGTAATTATTTATTTAATAATTTATGTAGTAATAAAATAAATAAATAAATAATTTTTGAGCTAAATTAATTGTAAAGAATTAAAAAATAAAGAAAATTATGAAACACTATTCATTTGGTTCAACTTTTGGTGTACTGAAACCATCTCCAATGAATGCACCAAAATACCAAATATCGCCAAAATTTGGTGCAAAAGCTCTCCAATGTGGTGCCAAAGTTTGCACCATCTTGGTGTAAAATGGTGCAAAGTAAATAGTGTTGCACCAATTTTGGTGCAAATGGTGCAAAGTCATATTTGTCATTTTTTCCATTCATCAAAATAATTGATGAAAGGTATTTGGATCATTCGTGTTATATATTTTTTAATACGATAATTTTAATTATTTTTTATCAAATTGATATTATTATTATTATTATTATTATTATTATTATTATTATTATTATTATTATTATTATTATTCATTTAATATTTTCATTAATTTGACGTAATTATTTATTTAGTAATTTATGTATTTGTAAAATAGATAAATAAATAAAATTTCAAATAAATAAATTATTTAGAGTAAAAGAAGAGAATAAAATGATTAAATATTGTTCATTTGGTATAAGTTTTGGTGTAATGGTTGGATATGATTTTTAGTTTGGTATAAATTTTGGTGCAAAATAGCGCAAATTTTGGTACATTATTGGAAATGATTTGAGTTGGAAATGATTTTTAATTTGATGCAAAATGATACATGGTACAGGGTTGAAGATGACCTTAGCTCTTGTTTGAGCCTAATTTTATCAAAAACTCATTTTTAACCATGTATTCTCCAATAACATAAATTGAAAACTTTTTTTAACTACACATTCTCTAAAAAACACTATTTCAAAATACACATTTTTCACCAAAATGGAACTCAAACAAGGGCTTAGTTAAAATAAATAAATAAATATATTTTTAATATATTTTGATAAAAAATTTATTACTAATTTTAACCTAAAAGTTTTAGCAATTTTTTGAAATTGAACCAAACAAGGACATAAAATCTAATTAAACTATTAAGCTTACATTTGAGCCCTTTTTGAGAGAGTATATTTTATAATATTGATTTTTGGAACAATGTATGGTTAAGTAAAAAAAAAATAAAAATTGAATTTAAGTGAGAATATGTGATTGTAAATAAGTTTGGAGAAAAATGAGTTTCTAATGAATGAGGCTTACATAATTCATTATTGAACTTTACAAAATGTTCCTCATAGGTTACTAAATGGGGAACCTTTTGGAAAGTTGATTGACTCCTCGGAAACCTTTTGTAAAATTCAGTGGTAATCGGGTTATTTTTAAAGTTCGGTGACCTGTGAAAATATTTTGTAAAGTTCAGTGATGAATTGTGTAATTTTTAAAGTAAAATGACTCAAAGGAAACTTTTTGCAAAGTTCAATGATCATTTCAATAATTCACTCAAGAAGAGGAGACGTGCATTTATAAGTTGTTTTTTTAGCTAAGTAAAGATGTCAATCTGATCATTTTGGTATATGTAGATGAGATTCAAGTGGCTGGTGGAACTCAATTAAAAAAAAAAAGTTTTGCCCTTTAAAACTTAGTCATGAAGCAATGGTCGATCCAGTGGAAATTGCTCAACCCTATGGCACTATGGACCGTAGGTACCTAGCAATATGTATATATCACAATCATTAGACCTAATATCTCTTACGGTGTCAATATAAAGTTTCGTTTAAGCACAACTTGAAAGTCATTGGCTCAAATTTGAATCTCTTTGGAAGTCAGTGAAAACGATCTTGTGGTAACTTAGTCACCGATTGCAACTTGCAAAAATGTCAAATCGTATGTTTCTTGGGTCAAATTTGAATACCTTGTCAACTTAGATATTGTTTGGTGTGACAACCAGCTGAGGAAGATGCAATTTCATAACTCATTATTAACGTCATTTTGTGGAAAATTCTATCCACTGAGGCCTTCTGATCAATTATTGGATTAGCCGACCTACTCAAATTGAAAAACCACCTACACCGAAGCCGTCTGCGCGAAGGACAAAGCCCTGAAGCTAAGTCCATGGTTCACGTGTTAGCTGAAGTAAAA